GTCCGACACTGCACTGCCTCTTAAAACGGAGTGTCGGTGCATCATAGGAATTTATCAATCATGTAAGTGTAAGTCCGTGTCCGACACGTGTCCGTGTCCGACACGTGTCCGTGTCCGACACGTGTCCGTGTCCGACACGTGTCCGACACTGCACTGCCTCTTAAAACGGAGTGTCGGTGCATCATAGGAATTTATCAATCATGTAAGTGTAAGCAAGTATGATGGTAAGAGGATACAATGCCATATGATGGAATATCATGAATGTATTAACCAAACAACTCAAATAAATATACGCGCGCGTGTGTATATATATATATATATAAGGTCAACATCTAGATCATAAACGAGATTTACATAAATACTTAGTGAAATGCATGATCTTCTCTATTGACAAGTATGTTTTTATGTAATTTTACGATTTGAATGTAAGTAGGTGCTGGATTACTTTCTGGATGACTTATCTTTATTTGATACCATTAGATATGCTGCAACAAAATTGTTGGTTGTGTTTGCTCGTTAATTTAGGAACATGTGATTGTTAGATATTATAATAAGGGGTCAGTTTGGTTTGAGATAAAATGGTATAAAGTAAAAGATTTACCTGCCTTTTTTGTGTGAAGTGTTCAGAATAAAATAATTGCAAAGGATAATTTTGATGTACTCTAAGGGGCTATTTGGTTGGAGGAAAAGTAAATGCAAATCATAGTGAATGCTTTGCTTTTTAATTTTTTGGTTTAGGTTGGCCACAAAGTGAAGTGAAATAAATTCCTAATGTATTCCAAACACTCACTTTTAGTTCATTTTTTGCGTAAAGTAAACCCGCTCAAAATTGATTGAGAAATGAATTCACGAGGCCTGAGAGAGCAGTCCTCGGGAACGCAGTAGCTTCGTCGACTCCTTCGTTGCTACTCGACATCACTCCTTCATAGGCATCCAAGGTTTGATTTTCATCTTCTATATTTCTCCGTTGCCGTTCAACTTTGTTGCTTGACGTGAGGAGTCGATTCTTCGACTCTATCATTGCTGCTCGACTTCACAGTAACTTCCTTTGACAACATTCCTTTCCTATCTGATCAGAAAAGTTTGCTCATTTTCAAATCGTTGGATTTTGAAAATTGGAAAGTATTTATCATTGGATTCCGAAGACAAAATAGTCAATAACAAATCATCTCCTTCCTCAGAGAAGGGTTTTCTAGATCGGCAATGGTCGCGGTAGCGTAGGAGCAGCTCGACGTGCTGGTGAATGGCATGTATTGCAAGGTACTTTACCCGATTTGTTTCTCAGACCTAGTTTGTTATTGTGGCTCTGCTGCTCTGTGAAATCTGTTTGTGATGGGGTTTTGTTTGAGATTGAAATGGGTTTTGGTTGATTATGGACAATAGAAATCAACCAAAGTTTCTTTTAATTTAGTACCATGAATGCATGTTTGTACTTCTTATTTGTGTTCTTTCGGTTTTTTATGTATGGATTTTGCATGTATGGATTTTGCAGTGTTGGTGTCCATAGTTTCAAGTTGTCGTGCATGCTTGTACATGAATTCTGTGATAAAAATGACAAAGTAGGATTTTACTTTACTTTGCGTACACCCAACCAAACAGAAAAAAATAGTTCCCATGCATTTACTTTACAGCCAACAAAACAGGCTCAGAGTATTTACTTTACACTGTATTAACTTTATACTATATTTACATTGCATTATTTTCACTTTTACAACCAACCAAACATACCTTACAAACCCTCTGCTTTACCCGCAAATGAAATACCCCCCATATCAGTGAATTCCTTTTTCTACCGGTCGTCGATTTTTTCCTTTCACTGCTGTCGCTTATTCTTTTATTTTTCATGCTTGATGCAAAGTTATACGGCAGCATGACCCATCTTTACTTTTTTCCACAATATGTAGCCCATCCTTCATTTCATGGTTGTTGTATTTTTGTACTGATTAGCCATAATAAGGTGTAGGGTAGTTTTCGGTCAGTAAAATGCAAATTTTACATGGAGTGGGACAATTTATGTTTTTTGACTCGCCCTCATCACTTCCGTGTCTTTAGTGTTTGTCATTGTTCGTCTATTAGACCTCACCATCATGGTCACACTGCTTCCTCTTTGTTGTCCTTGCCTTTTTTGCCATTGCCTTATTGTTGCTGAAGCATTTTCCATTTCTTTCTGCATCCAACTTTGCCATTGCTTGCAGCAACTGCTTTTGCCATTGCCTACCACAGCTGCCTTCTACTTCCCTTTCCCTCTATCCACCACATAACTAGCGAGGGTGAGAGACAAAGGTCAGAGTGAGAGACGTAGATGGAGATGATAATGAGAGAAAGTGAATCTCAGGAAAGTGAGGCTGTTAGTTTAAATTCAGATTTATAATATTGGTAGGTTCAGATTGGACCTGTTTCAGGTGACAGAATTATAGAACTGAGCTGTCCAGGAACCAGATCCAAATGTGACCTGATCAGTTGTTGCCGGTTGAGATCGTTACCTTAATTCTTTGGGTGTTATTTCACACCTATGAATAATGCATTTGTGCTAATCTATTTTCTATTATGATTGGTCTAACACTTTTTATTAATACAGAAAGAACCTAATATTGTAAGTAAAGGGCTTACATAATCTGTGAATTTCCTTAGTTTTTTCAACTACTTAATTTTTTTTGTATATATATATATATATATATATTTGAATAATCTATAATACTGTAAAATGAAAGTTGTGTCAGCTATATGGAATTGTTTTGTTATTAAAGAAAACAAAATCATGCAATCAATATAGGAGGATAGATTGGCATGATATATTGGATGTAGGTTGTTATCTAAAATTAATGCGAAGAATGCAGAGGGGCTGATAAACCCAACATGATGAAAATTGTTCAACCTGGTTTAGCTGAAGTTGATGAGCACAAAAAATTTAGCTATATGAGCCTATGAGGAAGTCACGTAGCAAATCCAAGATATGGAACAAGGGCCATGATGGTGATTATGAGGTGTAGGTATGATAATTGTTGGTGAAATAATACATCATCATTAGCCTTATCATGAATTATTTGGGATCAATTTTTTTATCTAATTCTATAACATACGCTTCTTTTGTTCCACTAATTCTATGCTATATTCATACTATTTTTTTCATTGCTCTAACTTTCCATTTATTTCAACAGATGCCTCATCAAATAGAATTGCATCATATGAAAAAGCATGTATCTTGACACCTTAAATTCATTTTCATTTATAAGTATCTCCATAATTAATACAGAAAGATATAAGATCGATGTTGATTATTGATGCAATTCTATTATAATTGGAAACATTTTAGCCAATTCACAATTACCAATACTAGTTAGTTAGTCTTGTATCAAATGAAAAATTTGCTACCTTTGATATGGATCAAATCAATTCTTGTTGTACTTTATCGTATGCTTTTTCAGGATCAATGACAATCATAGGATGATATTTTCTCTTCTCTATACTTTTTAATTAATTATCTTGACACAAAAATTGCTTCCATAATAAATCATGGGATGGAATTAAATAGATTCTGCAAAATTAATATAATTTTTCTAACCCTCTCCCACAAGTTTATTTTATAAATCATAAATTTGATTCAATTATAGTTGACAATAACTTCAAGTTCTCATTCATAAATTTATTTCTTCTATTGTTGGTGTAATTGTTAATCTCTTAGTTATTTTTGAACATTAGTATTGAAATATTTTTTTCCAATCATTTGATATCCTCCTTTTTGGTATCCCCTTTTTCATTGAAAAAATTTGTTAGCAGAATTGTGTTAGACTGGCCAAGCCAGTCCATCGCGGAGACAGCACGGAACTTGTCCACCTCCACTACATGTAGCTTAAACTGCGGGCTCTAGGAGTCAGAATAGGAAGGTTTTTGGAGGGATGTAAGAGGGAAATTTGAATGTAGGGTTTGTTTTGAGATTTTCTTTTGGATTATATGCATTAAATAGTTTGTTTTCCTAGGGTTAGGGCATCTTGAATTTGGCTGAAATTTGAGGTCTCTCTTAGGTTTTGTTTGGGCTCTAGCGGCGTCAAGAGAATTGGGAGAGATAGATCCTCCTCTCGAATAGAAGATCAATTGTATCTGTATTTTTTCGTTTCCCTTTCATCAAATAATACAAATTATTTGCTATTTTTCTGATTTTGTTAGGATGTTTTTGGAGAATTCTTACTGTTTTCGAAAGATTGATAGGAATTACTTGAGATCTATAAGTGTTTCTTATCAAATTGCACCATGTCCTATAACTCTTCAAATTTCAATTTATATTTAACTAGACATAAAGCCTTACTTCATGCATCTTCTTTAGAGCCAACTCAACTTCATTTTCTTTTGGGACCGATCTAGAATATATCTTGTTATATTATTCTTAGATTTTTCAAAAATAATTTCTCCATTTGAATTCTAATTTAACGATTTCTCAAAATAATATTTTTTTTTTCTGTCTCCATCTTTAATTAAGATTTTATTATTTTTGCTTCTAATGCATCTAGTTTGATAAAAGTCTCTAGAGATTTTGTTGCTTAGCTATTCTAAATATTTCCTTTTTTCTATCATTAGTATTAATTATTATATAAACATTGAGAGCTGAAGTTTTTGTTTAGCTCATTACTTTTTTTTTAAAAGTTTTAATTATTTTATAATCATTTTATGCATCATTAGTATATACTTCATATGTAATTGATGTTGCCAAGTAATTGCTATCTGGTGAATTCAGCGTGGGAGCAAAACATGCATTAAGTGATCTTGCTTTTAATGATCTGAAGCCATTTCTCGCTGTTCTTGCACTGCACTGCTGGTTCTTTTCATTTTCTTAGCTCGCTCGAAAGATTAAGGGTTTAAATAAATCAATAGGGTGATCAGTTTTGTATTTCTTGCTTCACTTAAGGGTACTACAGAAGCTCTTAGCTAAATGTTTTGAGAATCCCCGGTATAATTGAATCATATACTCCCTGAGATTAAAATCCTCTCATTCTTGCCCTCCACAGGTTCTTGATCGTGGGGAGAAGATTGAACTTTTGGTTGATAAGACTGAAAGCTTACAGTTTCAGGTATTTTCCTGCATTATTGAATATCACGGAGTTTTCACCCTTCTTTCCACAAATTTCTAACAACTAAAATGCACTCATCAGAAACAAAAAAAAGAAGGGTTTCACATGTGTACCACTTTATTTCATGCTATTTACATATCTAACACCTAATACTTTAATATTACATATTTACCACCCATATAACAAATATGAGTGTATGGAATGAAATATTAAAGTTTATAAGGTGGTATGGGTGGTAAGAATGAAATATAGGAGGTTATATTTGATATAAAAATTTTATATGAATGGTAAGAATGTAATACTAAAATTTTAAGTGTTAGGTATGTAAATAACATGAAATGAAGTGGTATGTATTCATAATGATTTACTTTCTTCTATTCCTCTTTTATTTCTAAGATTATCCTAATATAATTTGCATCAGAACAAATATGAGTGTATGGAATGAAATATTAAAGTTTATAAGGTGATATGGATGGTAGGAATGAAATATAGGAGTATTATATTTGATATTAAAATTTTATATGAACGGTAAGAATGTAATATTAAAATTTAAAGTGTTAGATATGTAAATAACATGAAATGAAGTGGTATGTATTCATAATGGTTTACTTTCTTCTATTCCTCTTTTATTTCTAAGAACATCCTAATATAATTTGCATCAGAATGAGCTTAAGAGTTTTTGAATTTATACTAAGATTAATACAGTTGGGCTTCGTTTAGGATGACTTTCTTACTACTTCTTAGCTTTCTAATACAAAAATTTTAATTTTTTACTAAAAAATTAAAGCAGTAAAAAATCCGTCCCAAATGAAGCCTTAATGTATCATATAGAAGCAGTAATCTGAATGCAAGTTTAATGGCTCTTGAGCTCCATTATCAGGATATCGTTACATAATTTTTTTGCTCTCTCGTTACTGTTTTTTTCCTGTCTCAGGCTGACAGCTTTCAGAGACAAGGGAGGCAGCTTCGCCGAAAAATGTGGCTTCAGAACCTCAGATTCAAGCTAATGGTAGCAGGTGGTCTCATCTTTTTCTTACTTGTTGTTTGGTTGTTGGCCTGCAGAGGGTTCAAATGCTAGTTCAGTGAAGGAGGAGCGTATGGTTCTTGCAAATCTCTTTTATGGGATCCTTCAGGTCTGTATAAAGTGGAATATGCTCTTATTGAAGAACGAATTGTGGAATATTTGAAACAAAAAAAAAAAAGGTTAAGTGCTGAAAATATGAAATATATCATGTAAAGCTGCTTGTCGTTTTAGCCTGAATTTAGATGTTTTTTGAGCTACTTTTTATGGATTATTGTGGTTTATATCATAAAATCATTTAGAAAGGTGGTATGTAGTAGCATATTGTGATGTGCTATATTTGATCGAGGTTCATTTAGATTTCGTTTGTAAAGCAATCTTTTAGTATAAAATTGTTTTGAGCTTGAAATTTTTATATTAGAAAACTGTTTTAGAAAGTAGTAAGAAAGTTGTCCCAAACAAAGCTTTAGTGTCAAATTTGATGTGAATGTTTTTATTTATTTATCAATTTATGTTTTTAAGGATTTCCATTAGAAATATTAAAATAGACATTAGAAATGATATTTCTTTATTAGATTTAAACAAGAATTTGACTTTTAACCGGACATAACGGAGAAAAAGGATTCATGTAGCCTACCCATGTAATTTATGGTTTTTAATGATTTCCATTCTTTTACAAGTCAGATTTAGGCTTTGATAGGGATAGTTTTTTTAATGCATTCTAAAAGTGTTTTTTGAAATTTTTATATTAGATTTTTTTTTTTTCTTTTAAAAAGTAGTAAAAAAGTTGTCTGAAACGAAATCTTAAAATAATTTAGTGCTATGCATAGCTTGTGCTAGCTCCATGCTTTGGTCTTTTGCTTTAACCTTCATTATTAGAGGCCTTAAGAGTGGATCCAGCACAGACCTAACAGGAATATTTCAGGTTTAGATACATTTGTGTAATATTTAGGTCAGCTTATTGATTTGAGTAGAAAAAAGGGAGGGGGGGGTCTTTCTAGGTTTATATATATATATATAACACTAAGAGGTCTCTCTATTTATATATTCAACCTCCAAAATTTCATATATATACTCAATATTTAAATAATTTTAAAAAAGTCCATCTTTTTATTCACAGACAATCTAAATCTAGCAGATCCAAAGCTATTGAAAAGGAAAACAACTCAGTCAAATCTCAATGAACCCTCCAATCATAGCTTCCTGGTACATCCAGGGGGTTTAATGGCTTAGATAAAGTTCTCTCTTGCATAGAGTTTGTCCAATCCTGCAATATTGACATGATTTGTATACTTGAAGTTAAGATTTCTTATTCTTGAACTTTGGTTCTCTTTCTCCCATCATATTTTTTAATTGGGATTTTTACATACATAACATCTTAAACATAGCTATTTACTTATCTCACACCTAAACTTAACTTTTTACATTTCTACCACCTAAATAAACGTATCCCGTTCCCATCTGCTCCGTTAAAATACGCCATCTGAGCCGCTTATATTTCCCGCGTGATAGTTTGCTCCCAAAACCATCGCCTGTTCGTCGCCTCGCCTCGCCTCGCCTCTGCCAAAATACGCCATCTACGCTCTGCTTCAACGACGCATTGTTCAAAGACGCATTTTTCTTCTGCGTGAAGGCTCTCAGGTGCAAAGTTTTGAAAATGTAATCTTCCATTGTTGCTTAGAGAAGAAAAACAGCGATGCTATCAATCTTTGAAAAACGAAAGCAAAGCGATTCGTTTTGGGTTTATCAAATTGGAAAAAAAAAATTCTGTTGCTTAGAGAAGAAAAACGATTCGTTTTGGGTTCATCAAATTGAAAAAAAAATATTTCTGCATCAATTTGAAAAACTAATTTTTCATCTCAGGTTTATCATTTTGAAAGATTCTTCGGCAAAACTATTGCTTCAAGCTATCCGACATCTAATACAGCAGTACAACTAATATTTTATACGACAAACAGAGATGCATATTTCGGGTAATGGCGCTCTACATTTTAATCCATTTATTCCATTTTTTAGATTGTTACTAAATCACTTTTTATTCACTAAAATAGAGATGGATATAAGTAATTTCTGCTTCATTATCCTAAAATTTGGTGGATATTGGATTGAAGTGCATGGTCAGAGTCGAACAAAGTATGTGGGTGGAAAGCAGAAAACCTTAAAGCTTCACAGAGATGAAATCAATTTAATTTTGTTAAAAGAACGAGTTCAAGCACTCTGCCATTGGATTCGCATTCAACCTTTCGACTTCCACTATCATGTTAATGGGACGTCACCGAAGAATTATAAATTGATTTCAACTGATGCAGATGTAGCTGACATGCTTAGCGGTTCTTATGAAAGGAATATAATTGAGGTGACGGTTGCAATGAAATATCAAGAAGAAGATATCTCCCAATCACAAAACAATCAAATTGAAGTAGACAAACAGTTAACTGAAATTGGAGAAGATAATGATATTGTTGTAGATGATATGTGCGATGATTTCTTTATGCCCTAAATTGATGTGGCAAACAATCTATGTGCTAGTTCACGGTTTGAAAATGCCTAGAGTTTGAAGCAAGCAGTACGGTATGATGCAATTTTTAAGAATTATGCTATAAAGATTAAGGCGAGTGACAAATCTAGAGTTATAGTTACTTACGCATACAGAGGTTGTCCATGGAGAGTACGTGCATCATTGTGTCGTGATGGTCACTCCTTTGAAGTTAGAAAAATGGAATCAACACATTTATGCCCTGGGGTCAATAGAACAGGAAATAAGCAAGCTACAACTAGTTGGGTGGCTCAAGAAATCAACTATGCTGAATCAGAATCTAAGAAATCATGGGAGTGGTTCTTGAGGAACTTGTCTGAAAGTTTTGGCAGTGAAATTGAACATTTAGCCTTCATGTCCGACATGGAGAAGGGCTTAGCCGAAGCTATAAAACTTATTTTTCCAAATGCTGAGCATAGAGTGTGTATGAGACACTTGTGGAAGAATATTAAAAAATTATTTCGTTGCGAAGATGGCATCAAACTTCAAAATTTGGTTTGGACGGCATCAAACACTTATAACCTAAATGTTTGGCATATGAAACTTGAGGAGATCTTCAAAATTAGTTCACAAGTATATGCATATTTAAATTCTTTGTCATGCAAGTGGTCTAAGGCCACATTTTCAGAGCACATTAAAAATCATTCCAACACAAACAACATGTCAGAATCATTTAACGCTTGGGTTGAAGAAGCTAGAAATAAGCCAGTCGTTGATTTGGTCGACATGATTAGGGCCAAGATTATGGAACAACGATCGCAAAGAAATGTAATTTCCTCCTCTTGGAGAGGTCAACTAGTTCCTCATGTGGAAGAATACATAAGGGACATAACAACGAGGAAAGAGCATTTTATAATTCGTCAGTCAACATTGACGAAAGCCAAAGTTGAGGGTCTTCATGAAAGGCACGCAGTTGATCTAGAAAAGAAGGATTGTACATGTGGAGTTTGGCAAAAAAGTGGTATGCCTTGTATACACAGTGCTGTATTCATTTGTACTACACAACATTCTTTATGGTATACCTATGTTGATGATCACTACCATGTGTATAGGTATATTCATAAATCCTTGACACAACATTCCTATCTATGTGTCGTATCGGTTATCTAAATTTTTCTTACATTATTAGGTACAAATTGGCATATGAGGGTGCAATATCGACCCTACCTGGCAAGGAGATGTGGGCTGCAGTTAGTGATGGGGAGGTTGTTACAACGCCACTTTCACTAAGACCACGTGGTAGACCCAAAAAAGGTGAATAAAAAATTTCTTAGAAACAGGGAAGAAAACGAAACTTGGACACAGGTGTAGTCGTTGTAATTTAAGTGGCCATCATAGAAGTACCTGTAAAAATCCATTAAATGGGGAAGGTGACAAGATTGGATATACGCCGTCCACATTATAGTTCTGATTTCACGTTGGATCACAGCATTTAGTTCTGCTTTTATTAGATTTTGCTTTGTGTTGGATTAGACCAACATTTATTTCTGGTTGTATTAGCTACAGCTTTTTGGATTTATGCTTTTTCTTTGTGTTGGATCAGATTTTATTTAAGATTTTGTTCTCTGTTTTTGGGTATACCAACATTAGTTCTGGTTGTATTAGCTACATATTTCTGTTTTTGGGTCTACCAACTGTACTTCAATGTCAGTTCTCTGTTTTTGGATCACATTTAGTTCTGATTGTATTAGCAATACAGATTTTGTGCTCTATTTTTTGTCTTCTGACTGAATCTCATACACTTACGTTGAAGTACAGTTGCACAACAGAAGCACAATAGAAACTCTACTTTTATATTTACGTTGAAGTACAGTTGCACAACAGAAAAGGAAGCACAACAGGATCTCATACACTTACGTTGAAGAACAGATGATATAGAATTAAAACATAAATATTACATTAGAGTTTCTTTGTAAGATTCAAAGTTACATTCATTTGCAATTACAAGACTTCGATAGCGATTTGACGGCAATAACATCAACAAGTAAAATAAGGATAACTAATAAGAATTTAATTTGAAGCAACTCATGTGTAACTGAAACTGCATGCTTGGAATGATCTTCAACAGCTTTTCCACTACTTAAGTGATTCAGATCTTGTAGTTCATCATTTTCATCATCAATCCACTTAAAATATCTACAATCATCTTCCGATCTATTTCGGGGGCATCTAAAGAATTTTCTTCCACGATTGTTAGCTTTGTAGCAAGTATAGATTCTGCATTGCAGATTACAACGACAATAAATTGCATTGTTTAGGCTTCTCATTGAGGGAGTCGAGCGGCTCGAACTCATCTCCGATATTCCAAATAACTGCAATAACAAAACAAATACAAAATTTGTATTCAACGTCTAATACAGATATGCATTCACTAGTTTACACTCAGATTAAAGATCAAATAACTGCAACAACATCTATTTGAACTCATATGCATTCGCTGGTTTTCATTTTGATATTCCAAATAAATGCAATAACAACTAATACAAATATGTACAAATTTGGGAAGAAAATCAGTTAATATAGATATGCATTTGGTTTTCATTCAATATTTGAAAATCTATTCTTCCATCCACAATGGGAAGAAAATCAGTCAATACAGATATGCATTTGGGCGCAAAGCTTCGTTCAAGAGCTTCCTCCCAGAAGGTAGGAGATGTGGATGCGTGAGGGTAAGAATCCCGGATCAGTAAAAAATACTCAAAATTCATTCTAATGTACAAGAAAACATCAAGAGGATGTCGAACAGCGTGCTGTTCTCGAAGATGAAAAACATACGGTAAAATGGAGAGGAAAATACCTAGCCGAGCGAGGGAGGGATACAAACTGAAGGAGAATCAGAACCTCTGCTCGCAACCGGTGAGATGTAGATGCGGGAGGGTTAGAATCCCGGATCAGGCAAAATTATGACAAATTCGTTCTAATGTACAAGAAAACATCAAGAGTAGGCCGAACAGTGTGTTGTTCTTGAAGATGAAAAAAATACGGTAAAATGGATAGGAGGATACCTAGCCGAGCGAAAGAGGCGAACTAAAGCTGAATCAGAACCTCTTCTCGCAACCTCTCGTTCTCGAAGACCTAAAAGAAACGTTAAAGGGGAGAGGAGAATACCTAGCCGAGCGGGAGAACAAAGGGACACGAACTGAAGGCGCTGTAGAATTTCTCGTCGAGGCGTGTTTTAACGGAGCAGACGGGAATGGGATACGTCTACTTAGGTGGTAGAAATGTAAAAAGTTAAGTTTGGGTGTGAGATAAGTAAATAGTTATGTTTAAGATGTTATGTATGTAAAAATCCCTTTTTAATTTTGAGGAATGTTTTCACAATTTTAATTGCTCCTCTCCTAGTATAATATGGCCAAATTGGTGTAAAATCCCTCAAGTTAAAGAAGCTAAACTCCTAAACACCGAGATGTCTTTTGATATAGTGGTTGGAATTTTATTCAGAAACTTCGTAGTTAAGCATAATCATCTCGGAGAAATTCTAAGATGGGTGACCTCCTGGGAAGTTACACCAACATGACAAAAATGTGAGATCCTTAAGTCAAAACGTACAATATCTTGATAGTTAAGAATTTGGGCTGTTATAAATGGTACTGGAGCAATACACCATATGAGAATTAAATGTCATATAAGATAGTACTATGTCATAAAAGCCACATCTTGAACCTTATATAAGACAAAGTGGTATGTAGAAGAATTCATCACTTGAACTTGTAGGGGTCACCTCTAGAATCCTATCTACTGGTGGCTGATTCTTTGATAGAGATACTGACGAGATACTGACGAGAATGTCAGTTACTCAAGTAGAGGAGATTGTGAAACACCTTAACTAAAAGAAGTTAAACTCTTAAACATTGAGATGCCTTTTAGTATAATGGTTGGAATTTCATTAAGAAACTTCATAGTTAAGCGCGCTCATCCTGAAGAAATCCTAAGATGGGTGACCTCCTAAAAAGTTATACTAACATGTCAAACTATTGAGAACTTTAGGCGAAAGCATATAATATCTTGATAGTTAAGAGTTTGAGTTGTTACAAATCAATAGCTGATTGCCTCTCCTTTACCCTCTCTTTTTCCTCAAGTCAATTAATTCATGGTCGTATTAAGTATGATATGTTGACTGAATTTGAAATATCAGTGGTCTTTGCTTCAAACCAACCAAATGAGAGGGGCTCTCTTTGGCAACAATAGAAGGTCATTGGAGACTCTGTCTCTTCCCTGAATTGTTTTTAGTGATTTTAATTGTTTCCTATCTCAATCTAACAAAGCTGGTGAGAATCTTGTTCATCACAACATATTTGGATTTTACAGGAGTATGATTTTTGAAAATGGATTAAATTAGTTTGCATCATTTAACATTTTAACTAATGTTGGCACTTTTCTAAACCTGTTTATGTTTTTAGTGTCATCATTTAACATTTTAAAAGCCTTTTTTAACACTCCTAACCGCTCTCTTAAAAATATGAATGATATCCCTGTTGGCAGCGCCATTTCCCAACAATTAATATATTCTCTTATTGCTCTTATGACTGATGATGAAATTAAAAATATGGTCTTCTCTGCCCCATGCTCTTCTTCTTTGGGACTTGATGGTTTTATATTTGAGTTCTATAAGGGGGGTTGGAATTATATTCCATATCATTAAAGCAATAAAGTATTTCTTCACCTCTTCCTACCTTCCATAAAGAGCTAAGGCCACTACCCTCTCTCTTATTCCATAATCTATTCATGCTTCCCATATTAGTAACTGCAGACACATTTCTCTTTGTAGCATCTTTTATAAAATTGTGCCTAAAATTATTGCTAATATGATGGTTCAGGTCATGCCTTTCATTATTAGTTTAACTCAATGTTCTTTCAAAAGGATCGAACTTCTTCAAACAATATTATTCTAACTTTTGAGCCATAAATTGTGGCTTATTATTATTGTACTAAATTTGACATTTTCATGGCATTTGACAAGGTCTAAAGAGAATCTCTCTTATATAGGATGCTTAAAAAAGGGTTCCTCATATTTTTGTTTCTTAGATTAAAGAATGTATTATGGATAGGCATTACTCTATATGCTTAAATGGTACTTTAGAGGAATATTTTGATTCATCTTCTATTCTTAGGCCAAACTGCCCTCTTTCTCCCTATCATTTTTTGTATTATTATGGATGGGTTATCTAACCTATTGGAGAATCCCCCTGTAGGTTTGTATCCATTTCATGGGATTTCTGTAGGTAATTAACATTTTACTCACCTTCTTTATGTGAATGACCTATTAATTTTTGGCTCTATCTCAAGTCTGCATCTAAACCTTTCAAAATATGCAATATCTTTTACTAAAGATGGCCCCAATGCTCACTTGGTTAGAAGAATCCTTAACATTTTCAATGTTCAAGCCTCTTTAAATATCTGGGTCTTCCTATATCATATAAACGAATTCATCTCACATTTCCAACAACATAGTAAATCGTTGGCTCAATAAATAGAGTCGTCACTCTTTGTCTGTCGGTATAGTAATAATCTTCTTATAACTCTCAACCATTATATCATATGAATTAGTAGATGATAACATCAAATCAATTTATTTAAAGGAAAACATGTTGGTCCATCATCTTGTACATGTCAGTCAGTCTCCAAAAAACGGGTTAACGAATCTTTACTTATCTTTTAAACACATATTATTATCATAATATTATAACAGTAATAGCGACCGGCTATTACTCAAGCATATATCAATATTCATTTATAATATATTATATCAAATAAAGTATAATTAAACATAACTCAAAAAATGTCAAAATGTATTAATAGTAGACAAAAAAAATCATACTGAAAAAAAAAATCACATTTTTTAGAATTTAATCAAATTATCAAATATTGCATAACATAACATTCTGAAGCTTTAGCTGAACTAAATCAATATTTTTATAAGTAAAAATAAATTTTCGAGTAGAGAAAAATCACTGTATTTTTAAAATCATCCAGTAAAAAATCTCAATTAAATATTCAAAATTTTAATAACCTCGATCTCTATAACATAAAAATGTTATGCGGCAAAAGTTTTTACTGATACAAAATTATTCATATTTTTCGATAACAAAAACATAATTTCGATTAGAAAAATATCAAAAATATAAAATCTTTGAAATTAAGAATATGATAAAGGTTTCTTACAGTGAGGCGAGTAAATACCAAATTGGCCCGACTAATGAAAATCGCTTTGTGACCTCCAAATCACAATTTTCCTTTTCTCTCTCTTACCTTTCCTCTCTAAAATCCCAAACAATATCTATGTTATGTCTTTTTAGGAAATTAAAATGGATTTCATAATGTTATATAAGTGACTTTAGATATTTATAATAAAATATTAAAATAATATTAATATAACTATTTATTTTAATAAATTTTTTTAATATAAATTCATATAAATCTATTTAGGACTTTAAAAATTATAGAAAAATATCCATAAAATAAATCATTTTATTAAAAAAAAAAATCGATGAAATAAGTTTACAAATCAGATACCTAGCGGTCCCTAAATCTCCACTTGTACTGCAAGGTGTTAATTTTTTTAAGGATTTTTAATAGTGCCCAAAAATTATAAAAAAA